CTTGGAGACAGTGCCCAAGGCCACTCTCCCTTCATTTTTGCCCTTTGCCCTCATCCCTCCCCTCCCACCTTCACATTTCTCACTTTTCATTCTCTACTCATATTTTTATTTCTTGATATAATAGACCCTTTCGCTTTTTTTAGGTTTATGCTATAAGGCACGTGCGCGCTCTGGAGAGAAGCAGAGAGAGATGGTGAGACAGCAAGTGAGAAACTGCCTCTCAGAAGATCACAAAGGGGACGCCCCTCGGCACCCCGTGAGGAAACGCGTTCCTGGGCTCACGACTGCCACAAGGGCTTCCAGAGAATAGGACATCTGCTGGGCGGTGAATCCAGCTAAGGGAGTTGAAATGATCTCCACCTGTAGTGGTAACTTTTCTGCTCCGTTTTGGTTCACTGTCACTGGGCATGTGCGCTTTCAGGGAAGAGAGAGACCGAGACAGAGAAAGCACACCCAATGGGGCGTGGTCGTGGTGCAGTCCTTTTCCCTCCATGTCTCCCCATCAGGATTTCGGGCATGTGTGCATGCACTGGTGGGGTTTTCAAGCTGCTGGTCTGGGATTTGAACTACAGTCAGCCATATGGGCAAGAAGCACTGCGTTAAAGGGTGGTCTTGGTATATTCTTCAAAACAGCGGATAGACCTCCAACCTCTGCCTGACTCCGTGGATTCTCAATAGACTTGCTCAAATTGGTACTATTTTTTTTTTAAAAGAGATTTCTCCATTCTCCTCTCAGCATTTTGGGCATGCTTGCACACATGCCCAGTTTTTAAAACCACTGGGTCTGGGACTTGCACTGTGGCCACCCATGTGGGAGTCTAGCACTTTAACACTACACCACCTGCTGACCACCTCCACCCTCCCCCAAGTTAGTGCTTTTAATGTTCTCTTCTTTGGAAGCCAGATATTTTGCAAACCTGCTCCATTAATTGAGGCTTGTATTGGAAGTAATCAGACAGCAGGAGGAAATGAAAAGGTTATAATGAAGGCAGGTAACTGTTAGATTGCTCTTCCTAAGCAGAAAGTGCTTTCTTCAGAGTCCCAACCAGAACTGGCCTGAGTTCTGGGCGGAGAAAATGTAAATAGAGAGGAAAAGTGAAAGGGAAAGAAATTAAGCCACCAGGTCCAGGACTTGAACTACGGTCAACCACATGGGAGTCCAGTGCCTTTAACCACCACACCACCTGCTGGCCCCTGGTAGTATGTATTTCTAGAAGTTTTTTGTTGTTAATTTTGTCAGAGAGCTAGTGTGCTTGCTGGAGAGGAATGGAGAGGTGGGGGAGGGAGGGAAAGGAAGAAAACACCAGTGTGGGAGATAGTCATGCTGGGCCCCGTCCCCATCTCTCCATCCCATTGGGATTTGGGGCACACCCCGTCAGCAAGTGCTGGTTGGGGGCTCCAACTGTGTAGGCTCCCAGACACCTTAATCAGGAGGCCACAGGCTGGCCCCATGCAATTCACCTGCCCACTGCTGCCAGGTTGCACTTTTTCGAGAAACTTCGTCACTCCCCCTCCCAAATGGCCCCGCACCATCTTTTCAACTTTCCCTCATCCCACTTCTCTAAGAGGGAAAGCGAGAAATCACCCCCCAGGGGGGATGGTCACGCCGCAATCCCTTCTCCTCCATTCTCCTCTTGGGATCTTGGGCACGCACGCACACGCGCCCGGCGTGAGTTTTAAGCCACCAGGTCCGGGACACGAACCGCGGTCGACTACGTGGGAGTCCAGCGACATAGCCATTATGCTAACTGCTGGTTCCCCCAGGTTGCACTTTTTAGAGAAACTTCGTCACTCCCCCTCCCAAATGGCCCCGCACCATCTTTTCAACTTTCCCTCATCCCACTTCTCTACACACATTCCCTGTGCGTTTCCGGCCTTCATACCTTTACTTGCTGCCTTTCTCAACCACACAGTTCCCCGCTCGAAGTTTCTGCTAAAATCCTACCTGACCTGCAATGCCAGCTTAGACGGCACCTCCTTCGAGAAGCCACTCCTGGTTCTCTAGATGTCCTTACTCTTCCAGCAGTGGGCTTTTTAATAATCACGGTCCCTGTGTGTGCTGCAGCCACGGACGGGGCTGGCTTTTCCACCTACCTTCCCAGCCACATGTGACGCTCAAGGGCAGGGACCACGACTTCATCTTTGTTTCTCTAGAAGTGCTTTTTAAAAATAGGCATTATAATCAAAGTAATGGGGAGAGGGGTGCTTTTAAGTGCAGATGAATTTAAAATAATTTTGATAAAAAGGAGACTATACTGTATGAATGTTTCAATCAAGAAAACTGATCAGGGGTGCCCTGATCAGAAGTTTCTCTGGAGAGTGCAATTTTGAAATAGCCACAAATTTACTGTAAAGGGTGAGGAAGGGAATTTATCCTCCAACCCCCTATTCAGCACCTGCAATGTGTTAGGTGCTTCCACACAGCCTTTCTTCACATCTCACAGATGAGGAAACTGAGGCTCAGTAGTGCCCCCGCCAACATGTCACAGCTTGAGGGACAGCTGTGGCCCTGTGCAGCCCTTTGAACTCACTTCTGTCTAAGTACTGAAAATGTGGAGGAGTGTCTACAATATCCTTGTCAAGAATCAAAAGGGATGATGTTCACAAATGCTCCTTTGGAAGTGCATGTTGAATGGCAGCATTCATCATGGGGAAGATGCCATCACAAGTAAAATAAGAGCGATCATCCAGTTTTGATCATTAAGCACAGCAATGCCTTGAATAAAGCATACGGTGAAGTAGTCATGGACATTTTAATCTTACTGCCTTACATGGATTTTCTTTTTTAAAGATGATGGGCATTTATCTAAAGTCATTTGCACAGTTCAATATTCATAGGGCAGTAGGATGTGTTTTCCAACAAAGGACAAAAATAAGATA